GAAGGGTCGTCATGCTGGTTTGTCACCCGAACAAAATCTAGAATCTCCTGGAACAGAGTCTCAGTGGGGATTGTCTTGTTCACATTAATGGAAGTAGGAAGATGAACCCAACACACAGGAAATCCCCAGGAAGAAGATTCTGAACTGTACAGAATGGGAAAAGCCAGGCAGGAGAGATAGGCTTAGTGCTAGTGCTCAGTCATGAGGATAGGAACAAACTTCAGCTCCTACAAGTGTGATGCCCTCTCTGACCCTCTTGGCCGCCCACATACACAAGTGTGTGCATACAGACAGACAGACACAAAGCACATAAATCTTGGCGGGGGGAGGAGCGGGGAGAAAGTGAGCAAGCCCCAGCATACACACAGGAATTCATTGTTCTCGAACTTGACTGTGGTTGCAATATGGCCAGGTCTCTAAAGTTCTTGTCCCTGTGATTTCCCTGCCATGGTGGACTGTGACCTGGGATAACAAGCTAAAATAAACCACCTTGCTGGACATGGTGGGGCACACCTTTAATCCCAGGGTTTGGGAGGCAGGGGCAGGCAGAGCCCTGTGAGTGCGATGCCAGCCCAGTCTACAGACCGTCTACAGGGACATCTTTCCCCAGGCCAGGATGATAGGGCCCAGAGTGGCTGTGGCTGAGGACATTCGGCACTGGCAGTTCTGGTGGTGTTTTCCACCTCAGAGTGTTGCCTGTCTCCCGCCTCTTCGCCAGGCTCTCTCCCACCAATGGAGAGAAGTCATGCTGGTCCTGGTGGGCACCGCAGGCTGTGGGTCTCTGAAGCCCCTGGCTCCATAGTTCCACCCAGGCCATGTATGTTGTTCCCTTGCTAGAGCTCATCCTGACGAACTTGGTTCTTGGCAAGAGTCTCCAAAGTAGCGGTTCTCAGCCTTCCTAATGCTGCGATCCTAATACAGCTCCTCATGTTGTGGTGACCCCCAACCATAAAATTATTTTCATTGCTACTTCATAACTGTGATTTTAATACTGTTAGTAATCATAATTTAAATATCAAGTATGTAAGAGATTTGATATGTGGCCCCTACAGCAGGGTCGTTCAGCCTCCTAAGGGATTGTGACCCACAGGTTGAGAACCACTGTTCCGAAGGGTTGCCAGGCCAGCCGGATAGAGAAACTCTGGTCTCTCCTAGGGTCTGGGCACTTCTGTCCAGAATGTACAGGTGAAACCAGAGGCAGACAGGTATGTGGGAATGGCCATGGACTGCTGGTCACCCCAAAGGAGAGTCCAGGGTCAGCCTCACCGCTTTGTCAACAATGGTTTTCAGGAGATACTGAAGGGACCTCCTGCAGTTTCAAGGGCAACACAGAGTGGAGAGGGCTGGAGCCGTGCAGATGAGAGAACCAGAATCCGTAAGGCTGAACGACCGGAATTTAGAGTGCTAACCTCACCTAGTGGCCAAGCCTCTGCTAGGCCTAAGCTAGGCCACATGCGGTGTGGACCAAGGATCAGGAGAAGAGGGGACCTCATATGCATGCAGTTCTGTCGCTAACCTTCAACACGAGCCTGTCCCAGGGATCGGGCCACCAGAGTATGCACGTAGCATGGGGCTATTTAAGTTCTCCTGTCTACAGGATGCAGATTTCCCCTCCCCTGATAGACTCTTGCTTTCGCCTCCGATTATTACATAAGAAACCACTTCCAGCTGTGGTGCCTGCCTTTGATCCCAGCACTCCGGAGGCAGAGGCAGGTGGATCTCTGTGAGCTCAAAGCCACCCTGGTCTACAGAAGGAGTTCCAGGACAGCCAGGGCTACACAGAGAAACCTTCTCAGGGGCTGGAGAGATGGCTCAGAGGTTAAGAGCATTGCCTGCTCTTCCAAAGGTCCTGAGTTCAATTCCCAGCAACCACATGGTGGCTCACAGCCATCTGTAATGGGGTCTGGTGCCCTCTTCTGGCCTACAGGTATATACACAGACAGAATATTGTATACATAATAAATATTAAAAAGAAAAGAAAAGAAAAGAAACCTCCTCAGAAAACTAAATCTTAAAAAGAGGAGGGAGGAGGAGAAAGCACGTTCCCTGATGACAACCAGCACCCAGGGTCCTGAGGCAAGAAGAGAAGCGGAAGACCCGCCAAGGCTGACAGTGAGACCTAGTGAGGGGGTGTGCGGCCTGGCCTGTTTAAAAGAGAATGCAGAGCCGGAGTGGTGGCAACTTTAATCCCAGACATTGAATAACTAAATCTAGCAGGGCTGGGATAGACGGCTTCACCTGCAGATGTAAATTAGGTTTACGTTCGGAGTGCTGGGCGCATCTTATCCCTCTAAACATACGCTTGTCTTTGGGGGTGGGGATATAACAGAGTAGAGGTCTAGGCGTTTGTTGTTGAAATTGAGATTGGATCTCAATAAGTAGACCAGGCTGGTTTCAAACGTAGAGATCTTTGGCCCCTACCCCTGAGTGGAGAATTGAACGAGAGTATCACCAAACATGGCATGAGTGATGATTCTCTTTTTTAATAATTAATAATTTGTTTATTTTATAATTTTGTTGTATGTGCACTGGTGTTTTGCCTGCATGTATGTATGTGGATATGTGGATGCTGGATCCCCTGAAACTGGAGTTACAGACAGGTGTGAGCTGCTGTGTGGGTGCTGGGAATTGAACCTGGGACCTCTGGAAGAGCAGCCAGTGCTCTTAACCACTGAGCCATGCTGCAGGCTGAGTGAAGATTCTTAATGAGGTCCACTGGGAGTACGGAGCAGGAGCAGTGGGGCTGACACAGGATGGAGGCGGTCGGACTCTGACCACAGTCCCTCTCTGTGCTCTAGGTCAAACCAGTCTTTTCTGAGGGCACAGCCATCTGTTAACCAAGTCCCTGCATTGCTATCAATATCTACTGGAGACCAAAGAGCTGGGGTGCCCTCTGGGGTCAGATATCTGCCTCCCACCCTGCACATAAAGAACAGTAAGTGTACCCCTCCTTCCACCGTGGGCCCACTCCTCCCACCCAGGACCCCTCCTCCCACCGTGGGCCCCTCCTCCCACCCAGGACCCCTCCTCCCACCCAGGACCTTTCCTCCCACCCAGGACCCCTCCTCCCACCCAGGATCCCTCCTCCCACCATGGGCCAGCTCCCACAAGCTTCTTCCCAGTCTCCCAAGCCGCACACTGTGTCTTGTTCCTACAGCCCTAAGACATTCCAGCACTTTCTGTCAGAGCCACCACCTGTCTCCACTCCCACTTCCAATTCCTCCTCAGCCCATACCAACTACCTCCCACTTTCCCACAATGCCCAGCCTAAGGGCCCTGGGCTCTTCAGAGGCACTGGCCTTCCCTCAGTGGTCAACATTACTGCTGGCAGAGACTCTTCTGGAATACCCACTGCTCTTTGCCCGGGCTTGCTGACCCTTAACGGTCAGGAGGTCAGGTCCTTTGCCCTCCCATCACAGACGATCCTATCTGCTTGCCTGGCTCTCCCCATCAGCTTCAGACCTCTTCCCAGATGGTTCACCAAGGTGTTCTTCTCGTCCCCGGGTGCACACTGGAATGTCTCCACCTCAGTTCCTGGGTGGAAGGCTGACTGCTTTCCCTCCCTCCTCTTCTTCTACCCAACCCCCACATCTATTAAATTAATAAATACTCAGTGCAGACTGTATGGGGGCACGTTCTAAGCACAGAGGAGCTGACAGCCTCTGGTGTGGGCATTACTGCCCTATTGAAGAGAAAAACGGGTGCAGAAAGATCCAAAGTCTTGACTGAATCTCACAGACTGAGCCAGTTAGAGGTGGCTCTTCTCTTGGTCCAGAGTTACACGATGTAGCCAGGCTGGCCTGGAACTTGTGATCCCCCTGCACCAGAAAGCCTGGCTAGGACAGTGCGGGTCAGGCTGGCTTCACTCCCGACACATGGCCTCCTTCTGCTGCAGTACTCGTGGGTAGATGCCCGGCTGGAAGGTGCAGATTTTGTTTTCTCTTTTTTTAAATATTTCACTGTGAGGCCTAGGCTAGCCTCACACTGATCCTCCTCCCTACCCCAGCCTGCCAGTGTTAAGATTTCAGGTGTTAGGATTTCAGCCTTCTGGCCTAGTTTGTGCACACTTTATCTGGCATTTTGAGACAGGGTCTCAGTAGCCCACACTCCCTAGGTCTTCTGCAAAAGCAGCAGCTATTCTCGACCACTGAGCCATCTTCCGATCTCTCTCTCATCACTGTTGCTAGGAACCGAACCCAGGACTTGTGCCTGCATCCCACCACCACCGAGCTACACATCACCGTTCTACCCTCTTCTGCTGGAGAATCTGCAGCCCAACCTTCAATACATCTCTATGTCTTCCTCAGGATGGTCACGGGATGCTATGGACTCCCCATCCTCCTCAAGCCCTGACTCACGGACTCCACACCCCAACCAACGTTACAACTTCAAACCCTTCAGACTTTCCACGGACAGTTTCAAAGTTCACTGCTGATGGCTCACTGGGCATTCCTGCGCCCATCCAGTTCTCCGTGGCTTTCTTTCGGTTCAGGGAGGGTAGAAGGGTGCTAAGGACATCCAGGTGGCCTGAGGATGGATTTGGGGGCTCTGTACATGTGGTTCCTTCCCTAGGCAGCAGCTTTAGCCTCGAGGTGAGCAGCTGCCACAGCAGGGAGCAGATGAGCGATTGCTCATACCCGTGCCTCTCTGGTGTTTGTTTGGCTTTTGGATCTGTTGCTTCCTGGATATCTGTAACAATCCGACAAACAGGAAGAAGACTGTGCGCGAGGACAGCAGGAGCCACTCTCAGATCTCCATCTGGGCCCGGCCCTCACACACCTCGGCCCATCCTGGCCTCTCCTCTCCATCCGTACTCCACTCTCTTACCTTTACTTTGCCCCAAATCCTCATGTGTTCTCCCAAAATAAACTAGTACGCAAAGTGTTTGGTTTGTCTCTTCTGGAGGTGAAGGCCTTGGGAACTGGACCGGACTGCCCATCACGGGGCCCCTCTACAGCCCTGCCTTGGCATCTCCAACTCAGCTTCACACAAAGCTGAAGGGGACCTGGATGCCCTTATATGGTGAAGGTTGGATTGGTTAGGTTAGGTGCCGTCAGACCAGAGCTGTGTGTGGGCGAGGGGCTATATTGGCAGGATACAGGATATGAACAATGAGGTAGACCCAGGGAGGAGGTGCCTAAGGAGGGGACAGGAGGCCCAAGGGAACAAGGGAGCCTTGCTTTCCAACTCCCAGGTTTAATGTCCCTTCTTAAGCCTCTCTCCCAAAACAGTGTAAATCTTGGGAGGTTGTGAATTTTTTTAAGGGGTGTGTGGGTTTGCTGTATACCCTGTTGTGATATGTTCTTTATAATCTAACAACTAAAGCTTGCCTGAAGATCAGAGAAGCAGAGCGGTCAACCAATAAGGTTCTTACCTCTACCAATGCTCAGACCAAAAGTGGTCTCTATGAATCCTCAGACTGCACCCAACTCTTCCCGCTTTATATTCCTCTCTCTGCCCATTCATATTCTTTCCTATCCCCACCTCCACAGTGCTGGGATTAAAGGCGCGTGACTCCCAGGTACTGGGATTAAAGGTGCGAGTCAGCACTGTTTCTCTTTTAAACAGGGTCAGTTTCAAGTAGCCCAGGGCAGCCTTGAACTCAGAGTCGTCTGCCCAGAGAGTGCTGGGATTAGAGGTGTGTGCCACCACTGCCTGGCCTCTATGGCTAACTAGTGGCTGGGCTCTGCACTCCGATCTTCAGGAAAGCTTTATTTGTTAAGGCACAAACAAAATCTACTACACTACTCCTTACTGGCCTCCAGCTCTGATTCTCCTTCCTCAGTCTCTAGGGTTAGGATTAGAGTGTACCACTGCAGGCTGCTATGAGTAGGGTCTCCCCCAAGGCGGAGTGCTCAGGAAGGGACATGAAAACAGCACTGGATGCTGGCGAAGGCCTCTGCTGACTGGAGCTTGTGCTCTGCTGAGGTTTACAGAACAGGCTGCTTGCATGGTGGCTCACGTACCTACTCTCGGTATTCAAAGGCTGAGGAAGCATTGTGTTGTGTCAAGGCCAGCCTACAGACCACGTCTCCAAAGGCCAAAATAAAACCGAGATCTCTATGTACGTCCGTCCTTAAGTGCACTGCCTTCCAGGGCAGCGGAGGAAAGGGGAGCGTGCCGGGGAGGGGCGCAGGGCTCTAGCACTGAGGTCGGAGCCTGATTCCGCTCACTTGAGAGCGCAGATGCTGAAAAGCCTGGCTGATGCTAGCGTCCCCTGTCGAACAGACACAACAGACTGTCACGTAAGCACCCATGAGCACTGTCTCTGTGCTTGGAAATTTTCCATAGTTATTATGGTTTGAGACAGGATCTATCATGTAGCTCTGGTGTCCTGGAATTCCTTATGTAGACCAGGCCTGCCTCAGCCTCCCGAGCGCTGGGATTAAAGGTGTGCCCCACCATGCTTGGCCAAAACTTATCAGCATTTAGTGTGGTGGCATCTGTGATAATCCTAGCTCTTAAAAGGCAGAGGCAGGAGGGTCAGGAGACCTCAAGCCAAAATACTAAAACGAAGACTTAACAGCTGCAGCCCTAGCATTGCTACTACACACACTGCAAGGTGCCAGGACTATTGAAATGAGCCAGGTTGTTCAATACACAGGGACGGGGGCTTGAGTTTCTCCTCAGGTGAAAACCCGGCACCATGTGGAGCTAAATGGCACAGTTAGCCTAGTCTTAGTTTATTATGGAGGGAAGTATTGCGGTAAGGCTAAGAAGAACAGACCCCCGAGTTAGGTGAAGTGAGGAGTCAGGGAAATGACAGACAGGATGGTGGAGCAAGGTGGGACGGGTTGCCACGCCAGGAAACCCGCACAGGAGTCCACCCTCTGCCCTTCCTGCTAAAGCCTGGCACTGGGGCTGGAGATGAGCAGAAGCCAGAGGATAAAGAGCCGGCTCTGAGGAGATGCAGCACACGACCAGACTGAGGGCACATGACAGTACACGCATGAGCAGAGGAGATGCAGCACACGACCAGACTG